TCATATTGCAGGGACGTGCTTAAAGTGGCCAAGTTTGCAGGTGGCCTGAGACATCCCAGACCCTCCTGCACCATTGCCACCACCATCACTACACACATCACTCCTACCACGGCTGCCTCTGAGATGCTGCTGTATGACCACACGCAACCAACATCGACCAACTACGTTTGGTGTGCGCGCAGTTGCGCGGCTGACACTCCACCGCAGCCTCGAACGACTCTTGCAAAGCTACGTAAGACTCACACCCAAACAAGCTGAGCAATCACCACATGCTGACACTTGCGTCAAGGTCTTAAAGACGTCTTATCAAGATCGAAAAGGCAGCCTTGTGGTTTCAAAGTCCTAAACGCTTCTTCGGGTGTAGGGTTTCACGTATTGGTGCGGTACCTTATCAGGGTCCTTATCATAACGGAATCCTACTATGTGGGGATCTATATTTGGGTCCCCCTTTTCGTACACCCCATCTATGTTCCCATCCTCTTCGCTCTGCCCATAAAGATTCGGAGTGCTCTTCGAGCGCTGGACCGAATGCTCATCCTGCCACTCAGCTTTGGGGCTTGGTTTAGGGTTTAGGGTTTAGGGTTTGGGGTTTAGGGTTTAGGGTTTAGGGTTTAGGGTTTAGCCAGATCTGGGAGGGGGTGCTGGGGACCAGAACCTGAATTTACTAGGGTTTAGAGCACGCGCGGGAACAACACGCCTCAAGTTACCGGAGGGCAGGAAGGTATCGGAAGGACTAGGAGGACCCTGGAACTTGGTTGCCATGGGTGCACACTGAAAGTTTGTGGGTCCAAGTACGAAAAAAACAGAGAAAAAGGGCAGCATCGGGGCTTTTGGTGCCCGTAAACCCAATGTTGAGAGGGGTTCATGTGGGCCCCAGGATGTTGCAGGGGCCCTAAACCCTCAACCCTAAACCCTGAACCCTAAACCCTAAATCCTAAACCCTAAACCCTAAATACTAAACCCTAAACCCTCAACCCCGAAACGCCAGCTCCGGCCTCCTCACGCGAGATGTTGATGAAAGTATTGCGGTACCTTGGCTGCTTTGGGGCACCCGGATGGTGCCTGAATTATTAGGGAACCCTACTATTTGGGTCACTCTGCCAGGGGCCCCCTTATGTTCGTAAACCCCCATGTCGCATGCCAAGAAGGCCACAGTAGTCCATCCACACTGTTGTGGTGCGATACCGCGCCCGCAGACGTGCACCCCTAATGTTGCATCCTCCTCATCGCCAGACGCCCTGTAAGCCAAGCCATGCCACGACACAGTCATGCAGAATCTGTGGTCTTGCGTTTGGGTCTTGGGGTCCAAGGTTCCGGGTTCAGGTTTCTGGTTCGAGGGCCCGCCTGTGGCAGCCAAGCTGCGTGCACTGCATCATCGGCAGCACGAACTGTCGACCGTAAGAAAAATCTGCTACGACTTCGTTATAAAACGGCGCAGGTCTCAAGACCTGCAACACGCAGCTGCGGCATGCAATTCCAAGGAAGTCCCTCCCTGTGGCTCAGGGCTTAAGGTTTAGAGGGTTAACAGGCCCCCAAACATAAACTCCGAGCCCCCTCCCCCGGCCCAACCCCCAAAGCATAAACCCGGCAAAAAACCCCTGAGGCCAGCGTTTGGGCTAAGGGTTAAAACCGAACGGCATTTCAATCAAACCTTGGACACGGCTTTCCAATATCTTAAGCTTCCTGAGCCTTGACCCGAAACCTGCAAACTCCTGAAATTTCCCCTTCCCCCCTTTCCCCCCCCCCGTTCCCCCCTCTTTTCCCATCGAGAAACCCAAGCCGACTCGAAACGCAGCGGCTGACTTGTGCTATCGGGCGTTGAAAAGGCTGTTGGGTTCTGTATTTCATGTGTGTTAATGTGTGTTTGAAACTAGACGGCCGGTTGATGGTATGAGAAACTTGCTGTGAAAACTAGAACTGACCAATGTAAACAAACGTTACTATCCTATAAGTCCTATTCAAACTGGCAGAAAAACTACCTAGCACCTGATGAAAGCAATGAAGTTGGAAGCACATGCTTAGATTTCCCAAATGCCAAATAGTACTTATAGCTCGCGGCGCCCAGGATCCAGCAGCTAGCAGGAAAACGGATAAAACGAGTTCGCTCACTACATTACTCGCTTGAAAGCGTGAGTTCCTCGCGATAATCTTGCGAACGACGGTCTTAACAAGAGAAAGCCACGGTCATTTCTAATCTGACGACAATTCTTGTTGGCTTGCCAGTATGCTCATGCGATCTGCAATTCGTACCGTCATGTCTATTCGCTCACTATCTTGCTATAGGATTCGGCAACATTAAAATTAAAGGACCGGATAACCCCATGTGTATTTTATCTGTTCGCAAAGAGTGTATAAGTGAATACGAGTGAGTGAGTGAGCGAGTGAGTGTGTAAGTGTAAGTGAGTGAGTAAGTAAGCATGAGTGAGTGAGTGAATGCGAGTGATTGAATGAGATGAATGAGGTGAGTGAGCTAAGTGAGGTGAGGTGAGTGACTGCGAGCTGTGTCCTTCGCTTTTGCTGCGCGCAGCACCGGTCCACGGTCCCTAAATGCTGCGTTTGCCTGCGCAAACGACACCTGTGTCGCGCCTGCCAACATGAAGCGAGCCCCCGAAGCGCGCGCGGCACCAGTCCAGGCCCGTAAATGCTGCGCCTGCCAGCACAACTGACACCGGTGTCGCACCTGCCAACGCGAAGCGAGCCCCCGAAGCGGGCGCGGCACCGGTCCAGGGTGCCTGCCAGCACAAACGGCACCTGTGTCGCCGCTGCCAACGCCCCGAAGCGCGCGGGTCCGGTCAAACGACACCTGCGTCGCGGCTTCCAACGCGAAGCGGGCCCCCGAAGCGAGCGCGGCACCGGTCCAGCGTCCCTAATCTAAATTCTGCGCCTGCCAGCACAAACGACACCTGTGTCGCACCTGCCAACCCCAAGCGAGCCCCCGCGGCACCGGTCCAGGGCAGGGTCCCTAAATGCTGCGCCTGCCAGCACAAACGACACCTGCCAGCACAAACGACACCTGTGTTTCGCCTGCCAGCGCCCCCGTGCGAGTCATGGTGCATGAGTCGCGTGAGTGAGTCAAGGTGCGTGAGTGTACTGCGTGAGTGAATCATGGTGCGTGAATGTGTCATGGTGCATGAGTTAGTCAGTGAATGGTGTGTGGTGAGTCAGTGAATGGTGTGTAGTGAGTCAGTGAATGGTGTGTGGTGAGTCAGATGGTGCATGAGTGAGTCAGTGAATGGTGTGTGGTGAGTCAGATGGTGTATGAGTGAGTCAGTGAACAGTGAATGGTGTGTGGTGAAATGGTGTGTGGTGAGACAGATGGTGTGTGGTGAGTCAGGGAATGGTGTGTGGAGTAGGAGGAGGGAGGAGGAGGGAGGAGAGGAGGAGGAAGAGGAGGAGGCGGGAGGAGGCGGAGGCGGCCGGACAGCCCCAAAAGTAAGAACCCCACACAAAGATGTGGGGAACAAAAACAACAACATGGGTTATCGGTAAGACTTTTTGCGCCCACATGCTTCTATGATTCCATTCTATAACAATGTTTCGGGGGCAAAGATGCTAATAACAATTCCTTTGCTTTGAAACTGGGGGCGCAGGGAAAACCACGCTTGGGAGAAATCGCAATGGCCCCCAAGGTCGCCCAAAATGACTGACCGAGACGCGTGAGGTCAACGACCGCATTCTTGCAATTTTAGGCATAGAATCAACATATCCTAGGTCCACCTGCAAAGATACACCCCATGTGGTCGCTCTCTTCTTTCGCACTCACACTATTCGAGAATTGATTTGCTGCTGCTGTGGGTGTGCGAGAGAAACGATGCCCGACCATGTGTTCGTCCATGAAGTGCAGGTGTTCAAAGGGCACGTGTGAGGGCTCCCAAAGGCCAACTTGAAGGTGAACAAAGTCTCAAGAACCCCTCGGTTTATCACGATAACACATGTGTTTTCTTTTGTCGCTTCTTACATGAATGCGATCATGAGCGAGATATTGATACTGGAAGAGCAGTTAGTATGAACAAGTCCTTTCATGTCAAAAGGCAGTTTAAGCCTTCCTCACAGGTTAGTCGACAACAGAAATAAGATAGATCTTGGTCCATGTCAATTGTCAAGGTCGCTGAACTTTCCTGTTCATAGTCCGAGGCATGTGGGTGTTTAGGCAGTATACGTTATCGTTTGTCTTGCGGGGAGTTTTTGGCTCGAATATAGGGGCAGATTGGACCAGCATCGAACCCTACCATGCTGTGGGCGCAGGCGCCTTGCAGGTTTGTGGCCATGGTCAACTGCCTCCACTCCCTTATGCACTCCGATGGACCAAACCCTACTAAACCCTAAACTCTAAACCCTGAACCTGAAACCCTGAACATGAAACCCTAAACCCTAAACCCTGTCAGGACACCTATATGAACGGCCCTATGGACTATGGAACCCGCGTGATGGTCAGCCCCACTTCGCTTTGCCCTGGAATGTTTTTTGATGGGCTTAGGGTTTAGGGTTTAGGGTTTAGGGTTGAGGGTTTAGGGTTTAGGGTTTAGGGTTTAGGGTTCCCTGACCGCTGCGAACCTTTTTTATCTGGGACCCCGAGAAGCTCCTATGAGCTCTCGATGTTCCGCCTTGCAGGGTGTGGTCAGGGTCATGGGCCTTGTGCCGTTCCATAGGGGTGCATAGGCAGTCCAGAACAGGCCTGACGGTCCGGAACGGTCCAGAGGAGGTCTATAGAGGTCCGTGCAGGATTCTGAGACACAACCAAGCTGACCACTCCGAGCAAACTTTACCTGGAGGTGAAACCTGCAGAAAGCTGATCTTTTGTACAACTGGCTCGGCCTCGAGACATGCCACGTCTCCAACTCGTATGCGGATTCACTAGGGTAGTGAGTGCTGGGATACTCGTGGGCGTTTACCAAAAGAAGGGACCACAGCAGTAGACCCCCCAAATGGTAGGATTCCCTTACAATTAGGACCCCAAAAAGGTACCCCCCTAGTTCGGAAACCCTCAAATCTCGGCAGGATCAGTCATAGATGTGCGCCGGGGCCATGCGCTTCGGATTGTTCACATGGAGTTGGTCCAGCACCTGTGGCCAACCCAAATCCGACGAACCCTAGAAAAAACCGGCACGAGCTTGGCTCCAGTAAGCGGGCGCCACTGCTTGTTCCACATGGTGGTGACTTTCTTTCACGAATCCCACCCGACCGGACCACCAAAACTATGCCAGTCTCCTCCACCTCACCTATCGCAAGGCGGCCCCTACCATTTAGGGCACCCCAAAAGGGACCAAGAAATGGCCACAATATGCACCTTGTCGAGTGGAGAGGTCGGTGGTGTCCCTGACTCTGCATCAGCTGGGTCTCGATTCCGGCCTGCGGGCAAGTTATCAAGTTCTGGGCTGCAGGGCTTACAGGGCTTACAGGGCTTACAGGGCTTAGGGTTTAGGGTTTAGGGTTTAGGGTTTAGGGTTTAGGGCCTACAGCAGGGCTGCAAGCTGGCGATACACGATATGCCAAGAAATGCGACCTTGCGGCAGGCGCAGGCTCGTGATTGCACAGCTGATGACTGTTTGTGTGGGCCTCCTGAGCCTGCTTGTGCCAGGGCTTCTGTGGCCAGCGGCACTGAGGCAGCCTTCAAGATCGCGAGACACAGAAGACGTGAGCCGAGGAAGCATGTGGCAAAGATCACAGATAGAGCTATCAGAGAAATATGACTAGGGTTTAGGTTTAGGTTTAGGGTTTAGGGCTTAGGGTTTAGGGTTTAGGGCTTAGGGCTTGGGGTTTAGGGCTTGCTCGGTGGCTTCAGTGGCCGGGGTCATGAGCTCGCAGCCCCATAGGCCTGACTGGCTCTGGCAGGGCCGCCGCTGTAGCCACCCGGCCGTGGCTCCTTGGAGCTTATGGCATCCGTTTGGGTAATGTGGGGGTTTCCGAATTAAGGTGCCTTATGGAGGTCCTTATTATCAGGGAACCCTACAACTTGGGGATCTATATTGGGGGCCCCCCCTGTTTTCGTAAACCCCCATGTGGACGTACATCAAGCTGGGAAGTAAGGCGGGCGCTCCAAAGGCGCCACAGATAACTACTGTCTACAGCATGTAGGAAGGCATTCTTTCGAAAGTCCTCGTTGGCGACTTCCTCACATGATTGTAAAGGATTGCCACAATAAGGGGTCGCATGAACTGAATGGCAAGGCTCTTATACAGTAAGCCACAAGGCTTGGCATGTCGCAATCACAAATGACACATGCCGAGATCCTGCCGAGGCACTGCAGTAGCAGCTTCAGCAGCCTCGCCCCCCGCCTCCTGCAAGTGCAAAGTCAAACCCTAAACCCTAAACCCTAAACCCTGGAAGGCCTTGAGGGTGCATGTGGCTCGCACACAGACAGATGAAGACAACAAAAACTGCAAGTTCTGCTCACTGGCATCAATAACGCAGCAAGAGCCATCTCTTGAAACAGTGGCATCTGTGGGAAAATCACTGTACCTTGCCTTACGTCACAAGCCAAAACATCCAGAGTATGACCATAGCAATTCAGCTACAAAAGCACGATAGCCGAGGCAAGCAAGTCACCTCTAACCCCAATTTTGCTGATGCGCATGGCCTCATGGCTAGATACTTTCTTATTCATACCGAGATGCTGAGAACACTGCCCTGGGCCCAACAACTCGACGTCTTGCTTGAAGACCTCGTGCCAGCCCGCCTCAAATGCCTCGCCCTCCAGCGGAGACGGCGGCGTGGCTGCAGCCGTGGCAGAGTCGGGCGAAGTTTGTGCCTAGGTGCGCACCAAACTTTGCGAAACCCTGCAATGCAAAGAGCCTTAGGCCTTAGGGTTTAGGGTTTAGGGTTTAGGTTTCCCTGAACCTCTCAAGTCCGTCGACCAAAAGCCTGACCCCCCCGCATCCCCACCTGAAGCCAAAGCCTCAAAATCCTTCCTGACAGAGGGGTTGTCCCTAAACCCTAAAGCCTAAACCCTATACTTAACCCTAAACTCTAAACTTTTTGAGAGCCATGCAACCTTAAATTGTCAAATCCTGTCAGTGGCCTCCTCCGCTTCGGGCTTCTCGAGGCGCAGCGGGAAGCTGCCGAGCGGAATCGAGGCCTCGGGGTTTAGGGGTCTAAGGGTTTGTAGGGTTTTAGGGTTTTAGGGTTTAGGGTTTTAGGGTCCACAAATTTCGGGTGTTAGTGGTACGCGATATCGGTCCTCCAATCTGTGCCGTGCTGCTGATTGATGCCCCCGCCCCCCCTCCTGACAAACACGGGCCCGTGGAAGAATGGCAGGGAAGGGGGCGGGAGTGTTCATCTCTTGCGCCCTCTTCCTCTCCACTTCTTTGCTCCAGCTCTTCTCCCCTTCTTCTCCAACCACACAAGCCGCAACACTTTCAAAGAGCGCACATGGTCTGATTTCACTGTCCGGACGCCTACCTTTCCGTTCTTCCCGGGAGTTGGGGCTATGATCATTCTTGTGAGAGACACAGTACCTTCGCTCATACTTGCGCGATTTCATCTTGAGGCTCAGAGTGGAGGTTCTGATACGTTCTGCCCTCGAGGTGTTTCCATCGTTGTGAGCGACCTCAATTGGAATTACTGTAAGCTCGGCTGCACGTGATAAAATGTGAGAGATTTTTGAGCCACCCTTCTGCGCTCCTGCAGTGTACACTCCAAGGACCTGTTGTCATCCAGACACTTCGCACGTCCGTAGCGACTTTTCGTGGAGGCTTACAAAAATAGGGGGCCCCTAAAATAAGCCCCCAAATAGCAGGATGGCACCCCTGATATCGTAAACCCCCTCGTGTTTGCTGGCTGCACCGGTGATGGTGCCAAATCCTGTACACGCGCAAAGGGACGACGCCTCATCGTTTAGGGTTTAGGGTTCATCTTCTACTGCAATCCCTTCCCCCCCGAATATTGAGCCCCCCCCATATAGGGGGAATAAGAAATTTACCCCGTCAACCCTGGGCTTCCAGAACTGCAGTAATCCCCTTCCCCCGAACATGAAACCCCCCCCCCCTAAATACCCCCTCCTTATAGACTCCAATGTAACTGTCATTGGGAGATATTGGGAGGTATTTCAGCTTAGGGGGGTACACCTAAGTAGCCCCCAAGTAACCCCTGAAGAACCCCTAAGGTCCCTTAGAAGGGTCCCTCAGTTAGTCCCTTCAGTGGTTTGCGTTCCCTGACAGCGATGACTCTGGCTTGGGGTGGCGGGGGCTTTCCGCATCTTTCCGCAGCGTATGGTTTCAAGCACTTCTTGGATGCTGCTCCTTCTTTATTTCTTTTATTTTCTTTTCTTTACTTTTCTTTCTTGCTATCTTTCTTTCGAGGGGCTTCACATAGGTCTCCCCTGCGGCGCGAGTAGGTGCCCCGGAGCGATGAGACAAGCGGTCCAGTGGCTGGGTTTTGCATCCCCAAGCCTAGCCCGTCGACCGTCGACCCCTCTCTCCCTCTCTCTCCCTCTCCCTAGGCCCTTCCCCCCCCCCTCCCCATCTCTCCGTTTCGCGCCTCAGTGTCCGTCACCTCCAGGGTCACTTCGGCCTCTGCTGCGCTCTCACCTCGGGCACTCAGGGGGTGCCTTTGCACCAGAATTGCGAGAGAATTGCAGTTTCAGGGTTCAGTCTGTTTTTCTCCGGGCCTAACAAGCCTTCTTTCTTCCATCAAAGATTCGGAAACCTGCATGGTTCAGTTGAAGGAGACTTAGGGGGGCGCGCAATTCGACGACGGTCGGACATGACCAGCGGCGTTATGGAGAACCCCTGATCGGTGGCCTGTGCACGGCAAATTATACTATTAATTCAAATAATACTTCTAATACTAAGAAGACTAAGAAGACTAAAAATGCTACTCATTCCAACAATACTATTCATACTAATGATACCACAAACCCCACTCAGCGGAGCCCAGAGACACCCTCAACCATGAAGGTGGGGACTTCGGAGAAGGTACAGTAAGAGGACACAGGGTCCATGTGGTCAACAACACATCGGCAAACACGGACACAAATCACATGTGACACATGACTTCTAGATTCTTCCCTCAACCCTGGACCCTGATCCGCCCCCTCATTCTACAGCATCGTCCTGGTCTTCTTTACAGCATATAATACACCATATGCCATATGATATATCTAGTATAATATATACATATATATATATACATATATATATATACATATATATATACATATATATATATATATATATATATTATTTCTATTTATTTATTTAAAATATTCTTGTCTGGATATAGAGTGTCATAGCCCTCGTCAGGTAAGTTTGCAACTTTTCCCCTGAGGACCCTGCTGCCGCTTGCCATGCCCAGGGTGCTGAGGGTCCGCCTGGCCAAGAGATGATGATAACAGAAATAAGAACAGAAAAAAAAGACACTAATAATAAGAACAATAGGAATACTTAAATATATATACATGCATGCAGGTATATGTAATGACATACACATACAGACCAAATACACATGCAAGTGCATACATATCTATATCTATGGTATTATGTAATTATAGACACACACGCAATCTGGATGGCTATTGAAGTTGCTGTCCCGAAACATGCAGCTGCCACTGAAAACAACCTTTCCTTTTGTGGAGCTTCGGCACACCTATTCTCGTGCATTTCTCGGAAACTAACACCTATGTTCCTCGAGTTTGTGTTTGAGAGTCTTGGGAAACAGGAGTCTGAGCAACGCCAGCCCATGTTGTCCGATGTTATTGCGTGTCTAGGGATGTGAGTGCAGCATTCAGTTTGGGCTTGAGCTGTGAGGAAGGTGAGGATGGTTGTGGGTAAGGTTCTCAATCTAGTGAGGTTCAAGGGAAGTGGCCTTGGCGTTATGTTCAGGATTGGAGGCCCAAGGAGACTTTGAATGCACGACGCTACAGCTGCGTCCGCCGCGCGCGCGCACGTCCTGAACACGCCGCACGCGGGTGGGTCCCTACGAAAATTCTGTGCCACTTGCACCGACGTTCGCCAGGTTTTGCTACACGCCTGCATCCAGAGACACCCGGATTTCCTAGGATTACGCTCATGGGGCCCGGCCCCATGTCTGAGGCTTCTTGGGGATGTGCCCCCTTGTGCCAAACATGTACAAAGAGTCCTTAATAGGGATTCTAGGTACCCCTATTATAATTCCCTATCAAGGACTGCTAGTATAACGGGGTTCATTCACAAAAGCCTTCAAGTCAACCCTCAACGACCCCAAGCCAATTCTCGCAGCCGCTCAGCTTCAAGGGGAGGCTAAGGATGTTCCCCCTTATGCTAACAGTCCTTAGTAGGGACAACAAAAGGGGGGGTACGATTGCACACCAAACAGCGGCAGAACTTTCGTCAAGCAAGTCCTTCCGCGCCTTTTCGCGGATCTTCCACGGACGCACGTCATGCAAATTCATCTTTTATATGGTCACGCAATGACAGGATTTGGGGTTGCGAGCAGAAACGGCCCGGTTTGGCATGCGTGGCCACTTTCAGATGTCTTTGCTGCATGCCTTCACGGTCTAAGGCTTCTGTTACATGATCGCTTTGGGGTTTACGGCACCTGCTCTTGACGTCACATTTCCTCAGATAGCCAAAAAAACAAGCCTTCAAAGCATCAGCAACCCTGACGACAGATAAAGACGACGAGGTTTCGATCGCAGCAGAGACCTAAATCCTAAACCCTAAACCCAAAATTCAACCATGCACTAAACTAGACTCAGACCTATAAACCCTGGACCCTAAACCCAACTGAAAACTCGGCAGGGCACTTCGCGGCGGCACCGCACCGGGCCAGTGCCCGAAGACAGGACACAGCACGCGTTCGGAGCTCCTCCCAGCCGACGGCTTTCGGCTGCGCACGTGCGGGGAGGGTCTGAAAGAGCTTTAGGGTTTCGACTCTCACGCTGTCGAAATGCGGGCGAGGACGCTGGTTCGAGTGTCGTGACGTGAAGGGTTTAGGGGTTTAGGGTTTAGGAGGTTTAGGGTGTTCAGAGGGTTTAGGGCTTTAGAACCAGAATAGTCTCAGGTTCAGGCCTCTTAGACATGATATGACCTGGATTCTAGTAACCACCCCTGACTCCTCGGACACGGGTTGGGCAAGCACGTCGGCGAAGAAGAGTTCGAGGTCCACAGACACCGACGGCGTACCTCAAGTCTTGGGTTTAGGGTTTAGGGTGTAGGGTTTAGGGTTTGCCGGATTAAGCCCAACCCTCTGCTGGAACCCCACGTGGATCCGAGGCGTCGGCAAAGCAAGGAGTCTTCCAGGATTTCAACGACATCTACCAGCTGCCGGATCATCCATTCCTGCTGGCTGGCTCGGTCCTGCAGAAAGGCGGTGGAATCGGTCACGGTTCCAACATGAAGTGGCCATTACATGCCTGGCACTTTGAGTCGAAGACTCGTTCTCTCACACTCGGGGGCTCTGCGGCGGCCCTCGTACTAAGTTCTTACCCGAACCTACCCTGAATTGCTAAACCTCCCAACCTCCTGAACCCTCGCAACACCCTAAACCCTAAACCCTAAACCCTGAACCCTGAACCCTACACCCTGAACCCTCCAAACCTCAGCAAACCTCAGGGAAAGTGGAGCGTGAGCCTGAAGTTCCTGGACGACCTCGGCCTTGGCCGTCTTCCTTGGAGAGTTGGGGTTTAGGGTTTAGGGTTTAGGGTTTAGGGTTTAGGGTTTAGGCAGGGTTGTTTTCCCGCCCCTTTCGCATGCGCTGACGGGGAAAAGGTCAGGTTGCAGCCCAAGTACAGGTGCAGGTTAGGGTTTCGGGTTTAGGGTTTCGGGTTTAGAGTATAGGGTGGGGGGGTGGTTTAAGGTTTAGGGTTCAAGGTTCCAGGGAAAAGCCCTCACCCCCCCCCCCCCCCCCCCCCCAAACCCTCTCATCCGCAAACCAAAAGGTCCGCAGCCTTGCAGACAGCACGAGGGTGTGTTGGCCAAATAGCAAACATGCACCAGAATGGGCAAAAAAGATACAAAAGCAAAGGCCGAAAGCAAGTAACACTAGATAACAACTCGAATCAAGTAGAGTCCGAAGGCAAGAAGGCAACAGGACCAAAATGAGGCAACATCAAAACAAAGGTGATTGTTTTGTATTTTGTTGGTTTTGGTCCCGTTGCCTTCGGACTCTACTTGATTCAAGTTGTTGTCTACTGTTGGAACCTTTCGCACAAAGCCCCGTGCCCTGCAATCGTCACGCAAGCCTCACATGTGCTGACACAACTCAAAAAGTTCACCTGGCAGTGTGAGCTGCTCGTGTGAAAGTACAGCCGCCCCCATTCCTGGTAGTGGATGCTGAAACATGTGATATGCATCCCAGTGAGGTCCAGTTGCATTTCCAGGGTGGACTCGTACTCCTCGCGCGTCTCTTTGAGGAGGACCTCCATTGCCTTCCTGTCAGCGAAGGCAGGCATTGTACAAAGCCTCGTTGCTGCACCTGTGTGTAAAGCACTCTGAGGGCAAACCATGTAACAACCCACCTGAAGACGATGTGGACCAAGGCCCCTTGCACATTCTTCTTGCTCAGGCCACGCCTGACTTCGGGACACTGCCGACGGTCCCCAAGAAGTTGTATCCACGGCCTCACCTGAGAATGCTGAGCCCTGAGTCGCAAGTCCCGCATAGCATGGTACCCTAAACCCTAAACCCTAAACCCTTTTTGAACCTGGAAGCTGCCCTGAACCCTAAACCCTGAACCCTTAATTCTAAATTCTTCCCCTCTATGGCTCTGGGGAGGCTTATCGATGTGCAGGGCTTTAGGTTCAAGGCTCTCCAGCAGAGTCAAGACACCGCTTCAATGGCACGAGTTCGCGTCTCCCGGACCTCCCATGCAGGGAGACGTTTGGCACTTTAACAAGGGGGGGGGGTGGGGGATACTGGTTGGGGGGGGGGGGGAGGAGGGGGGGGGGGGGAAGGGGGGGGGGAGGGGGGAGGGGGGGGGGGGGGGGGGGGGGGGGGGGGGGTGGGGCGGGCGCCCATGGGTTTCGGAGGTGCAGCCATCTTTTCAGGAACCCCGAACAGCACGCTTCCTGCTGAGATTTGGTTTCAAGTCAGAGCACAATTTCGGAGCCGTGGGTTACCAGGAGCTTTAAGAGTCCAACATGGCACGCGAGCATATACGCTACCCCCCTCCCCCCATATGCCCACGTTTTGACGACATCTATGGCACCTATGGAGCGATCATGGCTGAAGTATCCAAATGAATATCAGACAATATGAGTTGCTCTCATGGGTTAACGCAGCGAGAAGAGATCCCACCCACGACTTCAACTCTATCCCTGTCTGGAGGCATGAGTATACAGTTTCACCGATGGTTTCATACAAAAAAGCGTAGCAAGGCCAACTTTTCATACACAAGCAGAGACGGTTCATTGATAACGACATAACGCATGACTGGACATCCAACATTGCGTTTGAAACGACAGGTCATGATGAGATCCTTCAAGGTCAGCAGACCCTCAACGAGAAGAGACCCGCAAAACAAGCCCACGAATTCAACCCCCCCCCCCCCCCACTCCCTCTGAAGCGTCATGAGTGTCTGACCACAACAACCTCATCGAAGATTTCATACAAAAAAGGTTAGCAGGGCCAACTTGTCCTACATATTTGGGTGACAAGTTAGCCGACCCAACCGCATTACCAATGTGCTTTCTGATACATATCTATATGTATACAAATTTTGGCATACCATCTGTTCGCACGAAATTTCGAAGAGGCATTTTTCAATGCAGCCTTCTTCTAAGAAATGATAAACCAGTTCAGCCCTGCACTCACATGCTTCTCCCCGCCCTAAGCTTAAACCCAAAGACTTGTAACCCACCTAACAGATTCGCCCCAGCATCTGAGCCAAAACCCAAAAGCCGTGAACCCTAAAACCTTACCAGATGGCCAGTGATGACTGACCAGCGGCCATATGCCAAACAAAGTAACTGAAGATTAACTCGTTGACTTGAGTTCTTTATTGACTCAAATTTTGAGAAAGGTGGTCAACTTGACGAGTTGCAGAGTGATTAGATGAAAAGGCATATGTATAAGTCTTGATGAGATTCTGGAAGTGTGCTCGGCAGATGTTGTTACGTCTTGGCTATGACGTGTAGCTTGCCAGATTCCTACATGGTCTTAACAGTTTCAAAGGTATTGGATGGTTTTGGGAGGGCTTTTCATGTAGGCTTAGCATTACGACAGGCTTGCAGAACTATGTGTGCAGAATTTTCGTCTCAACAACTTAGGGGTGCGGTAATCAAGAACTGTAAAGAAAAAATCAACGTCGCTCTTAACCCACCTGGCGTTCCAAAGCCTCAGCACCTCCGGCAAAGCGGACGACGTCCCGCGCCTGCACGGCAGTAGGCACAAATTTCGTGCAAATGCTAACCTTAAAGAAAATTCACCTGTCATCAAGTGGCCCTAACAACCCTAAACCCTAAACCCTGTGCGAGTTTGACATGGAGTTATGTGCCAACGTTCCGACCCTGGCAAGGATTCTTGGCCCACTTCATGCTTGGAGTCCCAAACAAGTAACTGTATACTGAGATGTGTACTTATAGCCATGTTCGGGCACTTAAGGGGCTTATAAGTGGGTTATAAGTGCAGTTATGATTGGTTAGTATGTACCATGAACCTCCAAGCACGTCAGCTGCTCTGGATGGCCCCGCCATGCCCCACCTTCCCTCATTTTGCCGACGTTTAGGGTTTAGGGTTTAGGGTTTAGGGTTTAGGGTTTAGGGTTTAGGGTTTAGGGTTTAGGGTTTAGGGTTTAGGGTTTAGGGCGGCTTAAGTATACCGAGAGGACCAGTGCAGACCACTTGCCACCGGAAGCAAAGAGCTGAGTGTTGAAACCTCTTCAACCTCCACCGCCGGGTGTGTGTGTGTGTGATGATGATGATCTGGTCCTTAATGCTCTTCTGAAAAATGTACAGCATCCGGAGATTGTGGGCTTATTTACGCAGATAAGCCCTTATTTGGTGATGTTTGCTGTGCCGCTCAGAAACCATGAGCCCACAGCCGTGCACATAGGCAAAAGAAAACTCGGCAGGCCTGGGTAGGCCCGTCTCAACCCAACCCTCAGAAGCTACGTCTCCAAACAAACCCAGCTTTCAGGGAAGCACCTGGCGGTTTACGAAAATTAGGGACCCCTAGTGGAAACCCCTACACATAGGATTCCCCTATCATCAGGACCCCAAGAAGGTGCCCCTTTTTTTGCTTCCAGGGTTTAGGGTTTAGGGTTTAGGGTTTAGGGCTTAGGGCTTCGGATCGCAAAAAACGGCACCTGAAGGCGCGCGTGGAGGCTCTGCAAGGCCATACCCTGGAGAGTCCCCGACACAAGCTTTCAGGGAGAAGTTGGAAGCATAGGGTTTAGGGTTTAGGGTTTAGGGTTTAGGGCTTTTCTTTGCCACCCGCCTAGCTGACACCCAGGGTTTAGGGTTTAGGGTCGGGTTTAGGGTTTAGGGTTTAGGGTCCAACTTTTACTAACAGTCCTGGATAGGGATGAGTGTACCCCCGAAAATAATCCTAGTAAGAACCGTTAGTATAGGGGGGAACATCCCAAATTCTTAGTAGAGTAGATGAACTGTTAGCATGTGAAGCGTTATTGTTGAGGATTGCGGGAAGGTCTGTAACAGCGGGCTGTTGGGATGCGTGGGCCCCGGCTGAGCTCAAGCAAATGTTCACAATCCAATGTATCATACATCTCAGTTGCGGCTTTAGAACAGACGCAGCGCTTGATGCCTACAAGCTTAGGGCTTCGACTCTCCCACTCGTGCACGAAACTAGAACACCTAATCCCTAAACCCTACAAGTCTCAGAGCGCCCTCCATCAGATTAGCGCTGCGAACTCCGTGGGGGCTTCCGAAAAAGGAATCCTACTATTTGGGGCCTAAACCCTATACCCTAAACCCTAAACCCTAACCTTAAACCCTAAACCCTCATTTCCAATCCTGGTGCTCTGCAGCGGCCTCGCTCTCTGCGGCGGCCTCTTCACCACGACCTTGGGCCCCATGGGTCGGGGGTTCGGGTTGCAGTAGGGTTTGGGGTTTGGGGTTTGGGGTTTGGGGTTTAGGGTTTAGGGTTTAGGGCCGCAAGGGCTATAAGAACCTTTAAGAGTGATACAAGTCGGCTTCCCCCCCCCCCCCCCCACGGGGGTAGGGCGCTCCAGTGCGCACTCCGATTTGCATCCAGTGCGCACTCCCGCATCAGCATCCAGCGTGCACTCTTTTTGCATCCCGTGCGCTCTCCTAGGGTTTTTAGGGTTTAGGGTTTTTAGGGTTCAGGGTTTTTAGGGTTTAGGATGTTTAGGGTTTAGGGTTTTTAGGGTTTAGGGCTTTGAGGGTTGAGGGAGGCGCGAGAGGACCCGCAAGTCGTGCGTGCGGCTTTGCATTTATGCTTCGAAACACACCCAGGAGCGCACGCTCGACGCCTTCCCCACGGGCCCGCCCCCAAACTAATCTCGTCAAGAACGGCGTAGACAACTTCAAAGCCTCTCCGGCTGCGCGATGACACGTAGAACGATCAGAGCTCCGGAGAAGCTCATCAAGAGGAAGCAAGACACGTCTTTTCGCCGCAAGGCGCTCCATGCAGCCGTGTCCTTGGATATTTCTCGCTCCGCCATCCTTGGGGATCTTGCAATGAACAGGGTGACACGCGCATCGAGAAGCGCATCTTCGGCCTTAGGGATGGAGCTCCTCCCCACTGACCCGGACTAAAGGCGCCCCCCATGTAGGGCACAGCGAATCATCGTGGAAGGCCTGCTGACGCAGGAATAACTGCAATATTCTGAGGTCGGTAGGGCCCTTTACTGTTGAACCCATACTCTTGCTGCCCGAATAAGCTGTCCCACTACTGACCTCAAACCCTAAACCCTAAACCCTAAACCCTAAACCCTAAACCATGAACCTCAAAACCATAAAGTACATCGAAAAATGCATGCTCCAAGCCCACATGGCTCCCTCACTCGCGGCTTTCGGGGTTAGGCTTCTGAGTTGTTCCCCTGCACCGAAAGCCACCTGAACCCTTAACCCTAAACCCTCAGCCCTAAACCCTAAACTCTAAACCCTAAGCCCTAAACCCTCAGCCCTAAACCCTAAACTCTAAACCCTAAACCCTAAGCCCTAAATTCTGAGTCCTCAGAGCCTGGCGGACAGAGGCTGACGGCTCCCCCCCTCGCTCGACATCCTCGGCTGCCTGCGCAGAACCCATGGGCAGGTATGGAAGCCCTAAACCCTAAACCCTAAACCCTAAACCCTATATCCTATAAACGCAGTTTCCCTTGCAGTATCTCGTTTTGGCCACGCAAAATGTTGAACTGTCTGACTAAGGTACCTAGTGCTCGCAGCCTAGGCGCTAGAGGAACAAACAATTGTTCAACAAGTGTTGGGGAAGCGTGGATTGAAGTCGCTCGCGTTGAGGGGTTCGGGGGATGAGGCCCGCGGGTCAAGGGCAACTTTGCTTCATATGCGCTTTTTGCCTGGGAAACCCTAAACCCTAAATCCTAAACCCTACACCCCAAACCCTAACCTCTGCGGACCATGGGTTGCTCACCTTTCTGCCTAGACATTTTCGACATGCCAGCTCTTGGACGGCCTTGTGCAGGCGATCGACATAGAGTATGTGTATAAACACACACACACACACACACACTTTTTACATACTATAGGCAACCGCATATGGCTCACAACTTTTCAATTGTTTTTGGCCTATGCTCCATAGCTGTGCAGCTGGAAACTGCTGTACCCTTCCCTACGACAGACTGCGGTGGAAAACTGGTTTCGACGTCTGTCGTATTTTGTTCTGCCTGCTGTGCTCGGCTGCCAGTCGCTGCACTTGGCCACGCCATACTCGTTGCTTTCACGTCTTGCTGCAACTACTATATCTTATGCCACGCAGCACCGAAACGCGGACAGTCTTTTTTGCGAGCAAAGCTTGACACAGAGAGGCAGTGCGCGCTGCTTTGGGCAGCCAGTCCCTCACAGGCCTGGGCAGGCAGTCGCAACAGATGCAAGAGGTGGTATGTCGCACAGTTGACGTGTAGGTTCGCCGCGACACATGGCATGCATATACATGTATCCAACCTGAAGGCTCTACGGAAACCCCCCCAACTGAGCCTCTGAAGTGCTTCGCCAACGTCACGAAAGCATGAATGCCACAACGTCCCAATGCGAGTGGGACCCAGAGGCTGCGGCGGAAGGAAGGGCAACACATCCAGCCCGCCGCGGGCACCGGGTGCTGCTGCAGCGTCCCATAGGCGCCCTTGGCGCGTGTCGGGGTGTGCGTTCGGGCATATGGTGGTAGAGGTGCTGTTGAGGTATTGGAGTCGGAGGCTTTGGGGATGTTCCGTGAGTGGCAGGCCAACGTCTGACTCATGCTGTTCGAAGCCTGAGCAATGCCTGCCGGTAGCTTGAACCTGGTTCATGGTTGGGATCGTATTAAAAATTAGATTTATATTCCTTATTGGGTCTAAGTACCCTTAAAGGGTCTGAGTACCCTTAAAATGCAAAATGATACCCCAACTATGACAAAGTAGCGTTTCATCAGCCAAGACCGGCCCGAGTGCACTAAGTCGCTAAGCGCAGTTTTTTTTTGCATAGGGAGTTTTGAGTGCAGGAATTCTAGCCTCACCCCCCCCAGCAAAAGTAGGGCCTAATGAAAAAGGGCTTCAACGAACCACAAGTACATGCCTAGAGATGTTCGTCTTTGCATGTTGCAGGGTCTACAGAATACGAAAGCCACGGCATCAAGGGGAGAAGCCGCCTTGTGTCTATGCTTTAGGGCGCACGCACGAGGCCACGTTTTGGTCCTGCCTGGACGAGGGTGTTCTGAAGTCTTTGGTTTTTGGGTCGTCCTCGCTTTGACTGCGAGAGACAAGAAACTGCACACAACAGGTTGCCATCTGCTGTCAGATTACTAAACACACCCTTGGCTCTTTAGGTCGCCAAGGATCTGCTGGGAGACTCAGGCTGCAAAACAGCCTTGCTGAAGCTGCGATTTGACTGGAGAAGACAAGATGCAACGCTCTGATGTGTTGCATGCGAATAGGGCTGGCCTTGCGACAGGCCACATGCCAAATCTTCAACACTTACGACTGGAAGATCGCACCTTCGCCATTAGACTACGCATGCGGTCGTAGCAACCACTTGGGGTGGATGGGCCATGACGCCGGAGACGTGGGTCACAGCTTGCATGGCCACTCTGTGCAACAAAGCCACTGGTAAGAGGGTTTGGACAGCTTGAAATGCCATGAAAGGCTGAATGTTCACCCACAGGGTGGAACCGGACCTGTCTGCGCCCAGGCATGGCGGGGCCAGCCTAGTGAGAAATCGGACGGCCTTCCCTTCGTGCAGGATGCAAAACTCTTGCACCAGTCCTCCCACCTCTAATCACTGCAAGCCATGAGTTGGTGAACCTCCAGGCTAACGTGCTGCACTAGCAAAGAAGCACATCTTTGTGGCAGGAGGCTGTGCCAAGAACGAATTCATGTTACACCCTGTTTAGTGTGTTGTCCTTAAGCGGTCCTGGGATCGTATCTAATTTTGAAAGGGATGAGGTTCTGCGAAGTTAAACGGGGCAGCGAGGCGCGGCAAATTGACTTTAAAGGAGCGCCGTACAACACCCAGGTAGTCCGGTAGACTTGACCTAGTCAAGGTTTAGGGTTTAGGGTTTAGGGTTTAGGGTTTAGGGTTTAGGGTTTAGGGTTTAGGGTTTAGGGTTTAGGGTTTAGGGTTTAGGGTTTAGGGTTTAGGGTTTAGGGTTTACTCATGCTAACAGGGTGCAACACTACACAACTGCCCTGATTTCGGGCACCTTCCTGAAAGAGTTTCCGAGGCCCTCACTGCAATTTCCTTGAATGGCTGCCCAAAATGCTCTCCGGTCAATGGTAACCAGGGCGCAAAGTCTTGGGGCTCACATTGTGCTGGAGCCTTACAAGTGATGCTTGCTGGAAAAGCGTTCTCCAAAGTTGCGCCCAGCCAAAGGCCCGAGAGCTGCCAAACAAGAAAAGCACGATGAGCTTTGCCCAGAAGTGACAGAGATGATTCGGCAAAGCTGGGAGAATTCAGCCTTTTCCCCTTCTGTCGACCCTGAGGACAGCAGGTCTAGTCTACCACTGTAAAGAACAAGATAGCTGCAGCCACGGCCGTTAACTGACGACCGCTGCAGAGATGGGCATACTGGGCGATAACCGCAACAAGAGAAACAGAAAACAACCGAAGCAGCCGCAGATGCTGCAGCAGCAGCAGCAGCAGAAGGAGCAGCACAAGCAGCAGCAGCAGCAGCAGCAGCAGCAGCAGCACAAGGCTTGGTGGACCGACCCAGCCAACGAGGGTTTCAGACCTTCTCGCGAATGATTCCATAGCCCCCGGTTGGCTCACGTATCTCACGGCAAGGTGCACGGACCCTCATGGAGTAACCAGAAACAAGTGACCGGAGACATAAGAAGCAAAATCTACTACTTGCTTAGGAGGCCCCAAACAATAAAAGATAATGATCCCCATATTACCCTTATAAGGAAGAATAGTTTTTCGTTGTTGGGGGGTTCTTAAGCAAATAGTAGAAAATCGCTGCAAGCATGGAGGGAGAGGAGCTGCAAAACGGTGAGGAAGATGCTGCCTTTTTGAAAAGGAACCATCGACGACAGGGAAACACGCAGCCCACAAGCCGTGCGCCAAGCATCCCATGACTCAAGCGTTTATGAAACCTACTTCCAGGACAGCACACACGTGCGCATCTAGCCTGCACCGGCGAAGCCCTAGCCCTGCACCCGATACTATCGCTCAGGCTCAAATTTCAAAATTCGTACCTTGCAGACTTAAGCCGACGCTGGATTCCTCCCCTTTGCGTGCTCCTTATGGCGGATGACTGGAAACAAGTTGTCCGTGGCAGCCTGCTGCTCCAAAACTGGATCAAAAGGACACAGATTGTGTGAGCTGTGTGGGATCGATGTCGGCATAATTAAGGCCGTGTTTGCTACTCCATTCTCACACACCCATGTGGACGCAGCAGGAACTCGGGGGTTCAGGTTTCAGGAATTTGGGCGTTGTATATCAAAATATAGCAAATCACACCGCACATGTCCATTAGCAAGATCTTGGCGGCCAGCTCTGCTTGGAGTGATAACTTGGTGATGACTCGAGCAATCGAGCAATCGCTGCCCAGGACCCCTTTGGAAGTGAAACATCTCAGCAGACCCTGGGAGTGGAGAACATCCCATCCTGGAAGGAACCACAGAACGGAGAGACCCAATGTATTCGTTCATTCAATTAAATTCCTAGGCATTACAACACGGACCCCCCCGAGTGGGCAAGAGATTCCCTCCAAGATGTTCCTGCTAATGCTCCAGCCGGACCTGCTGTAGGAGATGGACTTAGGAGTATGTACGAAGAACGCTTCGTGCTCACCTCTGGTCAGCACAGCGCGTTCTCGTACCTTACACATCTGCACATGGCGACAACCTTCCACCCAAGGGAACTCATGATGCGCAGCGGTTTGACCCTCACCCTACACTCGACAATCATCATGCAAGGAGGAGGATGGCCCCTGAACCGCGCAACCGAACCACAAAGCAGAAGGGTCAGCCCATCCCCCGCACCCCGCCCCGCGCCCCCTGCTGCATGTTGAGCATGTCCTGATCATGACCCTAAACCCTAAACCCTAAACCCTAAACCCTAAAAAACTATGAAGAAATAGTTCGGTGTCCACCTTCTGGTTCAACGAATTCTTGCCACTCGCAGCTATTACTGGCTGGTTCTGAGCAGGGAAGTAGGTCCCAGAAAATCCCTTAAAGGGCATATACAGGGGCCCTAATTAATTCCCTGTGTCCCTGCTAAGAACCAGGGGGATTAAAGCAACAGGTTTCCCTAAACCCTAAACCCTAAACCCTAAACCCTAAACCCTAAACCCTAAACCCTAAACCAAGGAACTGCTAGGTGGCCATGGCCCTCGGCTGTGACTTTTGGTGGACCACTGGTTGCATGCCCAGCACCCACAACTGCAAGGCACAACAGAGTGTGTATGTGGGTTTAGGGTTTAGGGTTTAGGGCTTAGGGTTTAGGGGCTTAGGGTTTAGGGTTTAGGGTTTGGGGTTTGGGGTTTAGGGTTTAGGGTTTCGGGTTGAGGGAGAAAAAAAGTGTGTAGGCGGGGCCAGAAGGGATGCCATGACAAAGTACTTCGACGCAGGCTTGCAAGTGCGAGGGGCATAGTTGCAGCAAGGTTTGCTAACCCTAAGCCCTAAACCCTGAACCAGAAAACCTATACCCTAAATAAACCCTGCGTGTAGCTGCCTAGCTATGACGAGTAGTTGCGCACAGAAACTCTGCATTTGAAGCCAAGGCTCTTGACTCGAATTTCCTGACCGTCACGACACTGTACACGGTAACGCCCGGCATCTAGGTCTGCTTCGAGAACACGAGCCTCATGGGCAGCACGCACCGAACACTGATGCCAAGCCCTGGACAGTCTGTACGGAAGCCCGGACGCCTACAGTTCACTTGCCCGCTTGACCCGATTTAGGGTTTAGGGTTTAGGGTTTAGGGTTTAGGGTTTAGGGTCAGTTTTTTTTGCCATTTGTCGCACATGCCCCGCTCGCGTCATATCCGCCCTCCCTCCTTTTGAACGACAAGTGGGGCGAAGGGCGGCAAATGCGGTTTTCCTACATTCCCACCTGAGATTGTTGAACCAGTAGAAGGAAAAAAGGGTGCCTCAGACTGCTTCTATCTGCTTCTTATCTGATAACATAAGAATCACCCCTCAGAAAACTAGATCATCGTTGGGGCCCTAAACCCTAAACCCTAAACCCTAAACCCAGGCGGCTTCATCTAAAGGTTCAAGAGTACAGGCAATCAGGAAGGCTTATCAGGGTCGGGAAAACATGGCCCCTGCGAGGAAAATTGCCCCAAGGCCCTAAACCTAAACCCTAATAACTAAAAACCCTAAACCCTAAACCTTGTCCGGGCGGTGCCTACTGCAAGTGCGTGAAACACCCAAAGCAAAGTGCTTGAAACACCCAAAGCAAACAGAGCAAAGACATGCAGAACGCGGGGTTTAGGGTTTAAGGTTTAGGGTTGAGGGTTTAGGAACACTCCTCATGCAATATGCAAGTCAACGGCAGTCTAAAGGAAAATGGCATTCCAAGACACCAGTTGCCCGTTGAGCTCCTCGGCACTGAGGCCCCGAAGCCTTCAGCCCAAGACGAACAGTTTAGGGGTTTAGGGGTTTAGGGGTTTAGGGGTTTAGGGGTTTAGGGTTTAGGGTTTCGGGTTTCGGGTTTAGGGTCGTTCAATGCAACATGCTCGCGCTCAGGCTATAAAGCTATGGATCCGGTACCAGTGCATGAGAGGCTTGGCAAATAATCCGCCGAGGCCGGAGGCCGGCCGACGTGCCCGGACTAGGGCGGATTTGGGCCCAGGCATAGGGGGCGGTGTCTGTACACAGCTGGCAAGCAGCAAGCCTGTTTACCCACTTCCCCTTCTTCCCCTTACCCCCCTCCCCCCCTATCCCCCCTCCCCACCACCCCCCCCCCTCACCCCCACCACCTCTCGCCCCCGCACCCTTCTTTATCCAACCTCCCATCGTCCGCAAACCCCCCCCTCCCCTACTCCTTCCCCCCCAAACCCCTACCCCCCCTACCCATCCGCCCCCCGCCCTGCGCTTGTTGCGCGATGGGCATGCCGCCTTCCCCCCCTCACCCCCACTTCCCCTTCCTGCCGCCTCGGTACCCTTGGCGAGGCGGCCTCGCGTTAGCATAAAATTATGACACCCCTCCCCGCCTGATGCACGTTCCGCCATCCAGGATGCAGTTTCCTTAGGCAAACACGGCGCTTGGCTTCTTTCCAACTTGACCTTCAGATGATCGGAGGCGAAGTGAATAAGAATGGTGCCGATGCTGAAGCGAGGGGCCGCGGGTGGAATGAGAATTGTGGCAAAGCAATGGAACTCATTGATCCCCTCCCCCTAATATCAACCCCCCCCAACCCCCTAATATGAAACACCCCTATTATAGAGTATCTAGGAAGGGCAATATTTGGGGTTAATATTTGGGAACGCAGAACATCCGGAGCATGGGAAGTGTTGAGGGGAAACCCTCTGCAAGAGCACGCTCGACCTGGTTGGGAGGTTTATGCAAAACCCTAAACCCCAAACCCTTTTTTCCATCTGGGCTGGGTGGGGAATGCCAGATAAAGCAGCTGCTGGTACAACGGGATCAGCTCTGCTGGCTGGCACGCCATACACGCGCTACATACTCGACTGGAACGCTTTCAAACATGACAACCACGAGATCGCGTAGATGATGAACCCTAAACCCTAAACCCTAAACCCTAAACCCTAAACCCTAAAGTTGGAGGCGGGCGCTGCTCCACTGTGTGCCATGTGTAGTTCCGGGTGCCCATGGTGCCAAGAGCCCCAAGTCCCAATGCCCAAAGCTCCCAAGCGGGAAGAGTCGTCACCGATGAACCACTCAGACTCGGAACTAAACCCTAAACCCTAAACCCTAAACCCTCTCGAACAGCAAAGAGAGGGGGGGGGGGGGCGTGGGGGTCCCGGGGTGAGGGAAGCTTTCGAATCTCATACAAAACGCTTTGAACCCATGACCCCAAGCACTAATCCCGAAAGCCCCAACACCAGCGAAGCCAAGTAAGTTCCCTTGCATGATGAAGTGAGCCGAGCTGCTCGGCGAGATGTAGATCATTTTGGAGCTTTTGCGCAGAATGGCCATGTAATTTCCTCTCTGGTCCAGTGACAGTGTGAGCATCCAAAACCTGAGCCCTTAGGTGAATTCCGACGACCTTCAGAAAGCGTGTCGAACCAGCATCGCAGCCTGACAAGGGTGACACATTAAAACAACATGAATGGAACGGTCAAACCTGAAATGCAAACCCATCAGAACTAACAAACATGAACCACCTAGAAATACAATGGGCTGGACTTCACCACGACTACCACGAAAACGACGACGACGACGACGACGACGACGACGACGACGACGACGACGACCACCCCAGTAGGAGTAATCGAGTAGAACTTGTCAAAGGTCATCGAAGTAGTCATAGACATAGCCACCGTAGCAGCAGGGCGCCACAAGGGTTCAGCACCAAAGCCCCCTAAACCCTAAACCCTAAACCCTAAACCCTAAACCCTCAGCCCTGAACCACCATCAACAGCGGCCCGGAGAGCGCCCAAACCCATCCCCAGGTCCTGAGTCTGGCTGAAAGCCCATGATGTCGGCAGTCTGCCCATTCCTCAGGGTTTAGGGTTTAGGGTTTAGGGTTAAGGTTTTTGGATGCTCAAGCAGTTTGGGTTGTTTGGGGTACTAGCAGCGGTTCAAGGAAATAAGGTGTCCAAATTTCTCGCGCTCTGCGCGCGTGCCGTTGGGGGGATTGTGAGGGAATTGAGGTGCGGGGGGGTGGGGGGGGGGGGACAAATTTTGAGTTTAAACGCCCCCAGGCCCCTAAACCCTAAACCGATACCCTAAACCCTAAACCCTAAACCCCGCCAGGCCAAGGATCAGGTGTGGCTGAGCCGTCAGGCCCTGAACCGTCATCCCACAGTGCTGAGTGAGGTTCTCTGGCTTGACCTTGGGCGGGCGATGTGGGTTTCGGTTTAGGGTTTAGGGTTTAGGGTTTAGGGTTTAAGGTTTAGGGTTTAGGGTTTAGGGTTTACCCTCATGCCGCAAACAGCCCATTGTATCTCTTGGCTCTTCTGCTATCGGTGCTAGGACTGAATGTGCCAGACCTCTCCACACGATTCACAGATGCTGAAGATATCTGAAGATGTTCCCATGTTGAGGGCTACAAAGACAAAGGTCAAGACCTCCACAGGACATAGACGATACACTTGGAACCTGCCCTCGGGTGTCGAAGAAGATGCCCCAGTTGACTCTCCAGCTAGAATCGCACATGCCCAAAACGCCCCGAGTTGCGCCACCACTCTGACCGAAGAAGGGTTTCGGGCCAAATGTGGCGTGAATCGAGTTTGGTCAGAAGCCAAAACCTACATAATTACGGTGACGGGGACTACGGCTTGTGAGCCACATTCTGCCAAACCTCCCCTACCCCCGCCCCAAAATATTGAAAGAAAACGCAGAAGACAGGCTGCACAGATCACGGGACCGTCGCTCCGCATCTTCACGTCATACCGACCTCCCCGCACCGGCGGGGATGGTTTTGAAAGGGCCGAGTAAGAGGCGCACAGGCCCTTGTAAGGATGTGTGTAAGTGTATGGCCGATCAGCAATGTGACAGCACGCCCAGCCAGCGCAGGGGAAAACTCAGCTCTCATGAGTCCGTCCGCTCCCAACCCACTGCTGCAAATCCGCAGAAAGTCTCCTGACGAGCTCAAGGCTTCCGAGCCTCAAACCTGACTACGGAAGCGCAAAGCGAGAAAGCGAGCCCCCGCCTTTCGCGGCATCGTAGCCCAAGACCTGCGCCTTCTTACCGTTGTGCTCCACCGCCTATCACAAGGATCCAGGCCCCTTGACTTGAGGAACTGCACTGGACTCAAAAGACACAGGGGCATCGCTACTACCATTGTGTTTGGGCATTACGTGGCCGCGGGCAGGGCTTGCTCTAGCTGCTCAAGATTGAGCTTCAGGATGCTGGAATAATAAGGGTTTTTGAGGGTTTTTGTGAGGTTTTTGCCATACCTCATGAGCTCCACACCCCCGCGGGTTGCCTCAACCAGCCCATGAACGGTCACCATCTTCCCACGAGGAAGAGCGAATGGGTTCCTCGAGGTTGGGCTCCTGGGATGCGCAGGGTCTGCGTGAAGCTGAAAGTTCTCAAAACCTTATATCAAGGGACTAAAGGAGGGACCCTGACTTAGTAGCCCAGTAACCATACTATAATAAGGGAACCCTTTGTTTCGTTGGGGTTACTTTGTAAGGGAACCCAGAACCCAAAAAAAAGGCAAAGGGTACCACTGGGCTACCAAGCTTATGAGGGACCTTAGGGCTTCTTCAGGGGTTTGTTTTAGGGTTTAGGGACTTAGGACTTAGGGTTTAGGGTTTAGGGTTTAGGTGGGTCCCTCCTTATACCACTTTATTCTCAGAACCCTCCTCTCCGTCGACATGCGCACGCCGCTAGTCTCGGCCTGAGCTCTAGGACTCGAGGACTTGCAAGGCCCGTTGCAAGGTCGGAAGGAGTGCCCATATGGCGTCCGCATGTGTACCCACATGTGTCCACACGTGCCCATGTGATACTTGGAGGTTCATGGTACTTAACAACCATTTCTAACTGTACTTATTATCGGTGACAGTACCTAGTGCGTGACGGGCGCGTTCTCTTGCTTTCTGGGAAGGGAGGCTGGGGGTGTGAGGGGTGGGCGGGGGGGGGGGGAGTAATTCTACACCTTGTCCAGCCCCGTTACAAAGCCACAATCGTAGTAGTAATAGCAAGAACAGTAGGAATAGAGACAATACGAATAATAGGAATAATAATAACAATAATAATAATAGTAAAAATAGTAATAAAAGTCATAATAGTCATATTAGTAATGATAGTAGTGATAGTAATAATAGCAATAATAATAATAGAAATAATTGTAACAATGGTAATAATAATAATCATAATAATAACAATAGTCAAACTAGTAATGCTAGGAGTAATAGTAGTAATAGTAAAAATAGTAGTAAGAATAAGAACATTAACAGAAGGAAAACTTGTCATCAGAGTAAGAATGGTAATGGGAATATGAGTAATCATAGGAATAACAGCAATAATAGCAATATCGGAGCTCCTGCAAAGCTTTGCAAAGCTGCATACAAGTGCAGCTGAACGAAGTTTGTAAAACGCAGCGCTCGAAAAAGTGGCTTTTCCCTAGACGGGAGCGTCATTGTCCCTTAGAAATAGACACTGTTGCACACTTTCCGCCCCCATGATGAAGTAATTCTCACGCATGAATATGCGTCTTCCCTAGGTTTGGCACATTCCTGGTTCTTGCAATGCCACCAAATGCACGTCTCACACCAGGCGCTGTTACCTTATTATAACCCACTTATGAGCCTCTTAAGTGCCCGAATACGGTTATAGTTGGGTTATGAGTGCAGTTACAATTGGGCTAGTAAGTACTGTGCCAGTAACAATGGCAGAAGCCCGGGCGGAAGCCGAGTTTCGGTTGGGTCTTTCGCTGGCGCTTGCGCTGGCAGACGTCGGAGTTGACCGCCGAGTAGAGCTGTTCAAGGTCGAGCTCCTGCTTCAGGTTCGGGACTCAAGAAGGGGACCCTTACAAGGGACCTGAGAGGTTCTTTAGGGGTGATTTAAACTTTGGCTGTTTGCCCACTACACATCAAGATTGGCATGGGTGAAGTGCAGCACAAATCCAGAGCATCGGGATTCATGTTGGAACTCAGGGCGAGATAGCTAGTGTTTGGCGCACGCAAGGAGCCACAAGTATGAGCGCATCAGCTGCAGCCATCACATTTCCCTCAGCGGGTCCAGCGCTAGGAGAGTCCATCTGCGCACATGCCGCAAGGGAAATTGAAGCCCCTTCTCAGTACAGTAGGCCTTCATGACAAGGAAACCCGCAACCATCCCCCATCATCCCCCAGCATGTCCAATTGTACTGGGTTTTACGTAGCTTTTCAATCCCACCCTAAACTCTACACCCTAAACCCTAAACCCTAAACCCTACACCCTACACCCTAAACCCTAAACCCTGGCCGGCCTTTCCCAAGCCTCCGAAGAGCTTGTCGCTGCAGCCGGGCAGCCGGCCACCCGGGAAGCCTCATGTCTTGCCAAGCAAGGGTCCTAGCCCTTAGGGCTTATTAGGGTTTAGCGTTTAGGGTTTAGGGGTTAGGGTTTCAATCAAGCAGCGCTTACAACCTGTGAACCCCGATTGACGTTTTGAAGGCCCCCAATTGCAACATCTCTGAGCTTTTCGGCCTATGCTGTGGTCTAGCTGGGGAACTTCCACCGTAAGAGGTTTTCAAGGCCTCGGGCTTGGGGCTCAAGTTTGTGGATGCGTGTTGTGCCAGCCATGAAAAGAGCCAAGAGGTCGAGGAAGCTGTGGCTAAGGGGTTTCGGGGACTCTGGGGTGCGGAGAAGGGGCCAAAAAGGAAGTCGATCTCCTCCGCACTGATGCGGCTGTTCTTGGTGCCTCCAGGGGCTCAGATTCAGAGCTCTGACCTCGTGCCCACGGCCATGCCCGAAAGGGTATTTCCCAAAATAGAGGTACCCTGTTATGCCCCCAAATAGAATAGAATCCCCCTTACAGGGACCCCCCGAAAGGGTACCCCTATTATTTTCGGAAATCCCCATAAAGGGCGGTCTATGACCAAATGACTGAGCTGCTCTGCTCCGACCAAAGTCGACCAGAAGAAACTGAAGAAACAGTTGCCAGGGCCCTTAACAGGTCCCTTGCCAGGTTCCAAGAAACCCTAACCCTAAACCCTAAACCCTAAACCCTAAACCCTAAACCCTAAGCCCTAAGCCCTAAGCCCTAAACCCTAAACCCTAAACCGACTCACGCCCTCCGCTTGGCACAAGGCTGCTCCAAAGGTCCAATGCCATTGTGGTGTGTCTGAAGGTGTGCTGAAGGAAACAACTGAATTGGACTTAGGGTTTAGGGTTTAGGGTTTAAGGTTTAAGGTTTAGGGTTTGGGGTTTAGGGTTTAGGGTTTAGGGTGAATAGGATTAGTGCTCAGACCTGGGGATAGTGCTTGTTCATGCCTACCAGCGGGAGCTCCGCCTTTGGGCAAGTCTTGCTGCATGGCATGCTTGCCGAAGTTGTCATATGTCGTTCTCTTCTCCGGATCATGCAGCGTCTCGTAGGCCTGTCACGTGGGGATGACAGCGGAGGATATGGGCTCGTATGAGGGGTTTTGGGGGTTAGGGGTTTAGGGTTTAGGTTTTGCAGATGCTGTCTCCTACAAGCTGCGACTCCATACTCGGCTGGAATAGCTAGCAGCTAGGGTTCAAGGACAAAGGGTTCAAGGACAAGCCAGGAGAGGGTTTAGGGTTTAGGGTTGAGGGTTGAGGGTTTAGGGCTTAGGGCTACACCTTCGCCCCCCCAGCGCGACAGCCCAAACGGCCTCTGAAATCTGCTTGAACTTGGCCTCGGAGTCGCTCTTGTTCTCCTCTAGGGGCAAGGCGAAGATTCGTGGCGCTAAACCCTAAACCCTAAACCCTAAACCCTAAACCCCCAAACATCCCGAAACCACCTCAGCGGCCAGCCCCATGGCCAGCCTGCTGCTTGTCAGGGTGGTACTGCAGCGCGAGCTTTCGATAGGCCTTGGTCACCTCGCTGTTGCTTGCATCTCGAGGCAGGCCCAGCACCTGCAGCTCTGAAGGGCCGAGGGCAACTTGAGACTTGCGACCGTTGGTGTTAGAGTTTAGGGTTTAGGGTTTAGGGTTTAGGGTTTAGGGTTTAGGGTTTAGGGTTTAGGGTTTAGGGTTTAGGGTTTAGGGTTTAGGGTTTAGGGTTTAGGGTTTGGTTGGCACGAGGGGTTTGCGGTTTGCAGGGTCTCACAGCCAAGACTGGCAGAGGCAAGCTCGGCATGCACGTGGGCACTCCTTGCACAGCCACAAGCACAGGACCACCAAAAACGCCCGGCAACGACTTCAAGCCAGTATACCCAAAACAACAGCAGGCCAACAACTCGTCTCTTTGCTTACCAGAGCTTCTGCACATTCGGGTTTTCAGGCCTTGAGGAGGACTTCGGGTGCAGTTAGAAGAGCTCAAAGCTTAATTCAAGTGTGAGCCCGGGCTGTGCCTGGTAGTAGTCATCCGAGTCCACATTTGAGATCCTTCTGATGCTTCGGGTCCAAGGATAGCAAGACATCGCGGGAGGGGCAGGGGCAAACACAATGCCCGCATCATGGGGCTTGCAAAGGAGTTGAGAAAGGATTCATATGCCTTTGAAGCAGGCGATGCACGTCAGCACAAAAAACAAAACAGGGCAGGGCAGCCGGGACTAAAACAAGCTGGGGGGGGGGGGGGTTGGGGGGGGGGGCCAGAGCCATTTGCAGAACACAATGCTCGCATGATGGGGCTTGGAAGGGATTCATATGCTTTGAAGCAAGCATTGCACGGCTTGATGCTTTGAAGCAAGCTTTGCACGGCTTAAAACCAGGTCCTAACATTCAACATGTATATGTGCGTGCGCGTGATGTATATCTATGGTGTACAACAACTATAATATACACTAATTTGCACTTATGCTATTGTCTGCGATGCATTATCTCATATAAATCTAAATCTATCTGTCTATCTATCTATATCTATATATATATATATATATATATATATTACAATTTATGCTAAACATGTTATATACAACTGCATATACAAACACACATGGTGTTTTCACTTCATTTTATATTATATTACATGTTATCTTATCTTCTTTTCGTCTATCCATCCTGGCGTCCTTGCTTCCTTCCTCCTTTCTTCCTTCCCTCTCTTCCTTACTATTTTGCAGCTTCCCCTTGCCAAAACCTAAGGCAACGGACGATTTCCTCTCACTCACATGGAGGTTTTCCTAGCAAGAACCAAGAAAGCGGACAACATACAAATACCCGAACCCCCCCCCCCCCCCTCCAAAAAGAACGACTCCAAAATAAACCTTCCCCCAAGCCACAAACCCCAAGAACAAGTGCATGCATCATTTGAGCAATGACGCAGCAAATGTCGATTGCTGGCTTTGGACGTCCTTTCCGGCCCTGCACTATAGTCACTATCGAAACGACAAACCGAATGACTACTTTTGCTTAAGAGCCCACCAAAAAACAAAAGATTATAATCCAAGATTGCCCCTATACGGAAGAATCTCTCATTTTTGGGGGGGTTCTCAAGGCAATTCGTGGAGGACTGACCCAGGCAGCCTTGTCATTCCGACCGGTAGTTCAGGAGCAATGTCCTTTTCCTACCAGGGTCCGACCCTGAGGGCCCAAAGGGCGGCGGATGGACGATGACAAGGGTTTAGGGTTTAGGGTTTAGGGTTTAGGTTGAGGGTTTAGGGCCCAAAGGGCGGCGGATGGACCACGACATGCCTAGGGCTGCGGGAAGCGCGTGCCAAGAGCATTTGAAGTTGGGGTGCTCCCCGTTTATACTAACAGAACAGTGTTTCCTAGGGAGGGTTTAGGGTTTAGGGTTTAGGGTTTAGGGTTTAGGGTTTAGGGTTTAGGGTTTAGGGTTTACACCAAGTTCAGGGTTTAAGGTTTAGGGTTTAGGGTTTACAAGCGACGCGGGACCAGTGACTTGAAATCACTGCAGGGATGGGCAGCGCAGGCACACACAGACATGCATGTGTGCGTGAGTCTGCTTGCGTTCGCTACCGTAGGTGCCCCTCTTTCACATGGTACTATCCCTTGGCACCCAGCATCCTAAAAGTTCCTAGGTCCCAGCACCCACTTGCAAAGTGTATGCCTACACCCGAAACCCCAAACCCCAAACCCCAAACCCTAAACCCTAAACCCTGCTTTGCAGCAAACCCTAAACCCTAAACCCTAAACCCTTCGTAATTTCATGTTTCGGGCCATTAAGGTGACAGGTTTGGCACCTGGGCGCTCAAATGCTATGCTCAGTGCGCGGCTGAACTTCACGGACCGCCTGATATTCGCCATTGAGAACAGAGACCCGGGTTTAGGGTTTAGGGTTTAGGGTTTTCTGCTTTCGGGTTTAGGGTTTAGGGTTTAGGGGGGTGTACCAGGATGGGCGAGTATACCCTATGATCCCTTTAAAGGCCCTTTATCGGGTTCATTAAGGGGATTTCTAAGGCCTAATAGCCCAGGTATGGGGCGAAGGTGCGACTCGGTGGCTTGAACACTCTGCTCAGGGTCTGAAGGGGGTTGTAGCTTCGGGCGAGTGAAGTTTGGCCTTGTCCAGTCGCATCCAGAACCTTTAGGGTTTAGGGTTTAGGGCTAGGGGCCTTTACTTGTCAGCAATCCCTGCTGTTGGGGACTGCGTGCTGGGCCGAGCCCGCCTCGGGACGCAACTCCAACCATTCCAAATGTGCTTTCGGCATTTCACCATTTCCCTTTTATGGTTCGCATGTCCGTTTGACCTGCTTTCAGCACCACCCCCTAGCTGCGCACGAAATGGCGTTCGATCTCTTGCGAGTGTCTGAGAGGAAACTGATCTTGGAACGCTTGTCGCGGTAAGAGGTTGGCCACAAGGGCCTCGTTGTATACGCTCGGACAAACACATGGAAAGACAGAAACAGATTTGAAAGAAAAAACAGGCGAGCGAGCGCACAAACTAATTCGTGCAATCCTCCCTGATATTGTTCGCGCCTCCTTGTCTCTGCACAACAAAACTTCTGGCATTTACATGCATTTATCGCAAAGGCTCTTGGGCAGCAGCCATGTGGACAAGAAGGCACTTGATTTCAGCGGACACGTTGAAGCCGTTTGCGCTGTTCGTCGTTGGCCAGCGGCCCCAAGGAAAACTCCGCCCACAAGCCTGAAGAACTTGAAGGGCCGTGCTCGTACCCATGGTACCCAATCTGCCCAAGCGCTCCAGAACTTCCCCGCGCACGTGCTGGCACGCACGCACGCACGCATGCAGCACACACGCACACACGCACACACGCACACACGCACACACGCACACACGCACACACGCACACACGCACACACACACGCACACACGCACACACGCACACACGCACACACGCACACACGCACACACGCACACACGCACACACGCACACACGCACACACGCACACACGCACCCACGCACGCGCGCACTCACGTGCATGGGCATCGCACGCGCAATTGCGCGTCGCACTCGCACACGCACATCACGGCGCAAGCACTCATTCGCGCGCACGAGCGCGTGAGTGCACTCGCAATACTCGCACTCACACACGCACTCCCACGGGCACTCGCACTCGCACGTGCGTGCATGTGAAGTCACATGCACATGCACAAGCACCTCCACACCCACTCAGCCACTCAGCCACTCAACCACACACAGCTTCGCCGGGTGGTCGCGCATCCAGTCGGCATAGTGTGCGAATGTACGATGCTGGATCCAAGAGGTCTTCAACACAGGCAACCCTAAACCCTAAACCCTAAACCCTAAACCCTACAGGAGCTGAGCACTGCCACATGACGAAGCATCCTGAGACCGAACTACCTCCCAAAACTCTGTGCTCCGAGGCTGGGAACTTCACACAGCCCTCCACTCCCTCCCCTTCACTGAACTTGGAACCCGGGCAAAACTTGTAGTTTTGCTGCTTCTTAGGAGTTATGCCCTAAACCCTAAACCCCTAAACCCTAAACATTCCCGAGTATCCCTCAGTCCCGCGTTCCCCCCATGAGCACCCGCTTCTGGCCGCCGCCACGAGGCGCCAAGCGCCGCCCTCTGCCGGCATGTGAAAGGCGCCTACTGGATGCCTGGCAAGGGTTTAGGGTTTAGGGTTTAGGGTTTAGGGTTTAGGGTTTAGGGTTTAGGGTTTAGGGTTTAGGGTTTAGGGTTTAGGGTTTAGGGTTTAGGGTTTAGGGTTTAGGAATTAGGGTTTAGGGTTTAGGGTTTAGGGCTTAGGGCTTAGGGCTTAGGGTTTAGGGTTTAGGGTTTAGGGTTTAGGAATTAGGGTTTAGGGCTTAGGGCTTAGGGTTTAGGGTTTAGGGGGCATGGAGAACTAAAAGGCCAGGATCGCTTTTGAGTTGGACTTCGGTGTAATGGACTTGAGGCTCTTCTTGAGGGTTTTTGCGAACGGAGCGGAATCTGAGTTCGCGCAGTGACCGTCAGCAACACGTCTCAGCAGAATGTCAGTCCCACTTGCATTCTGGCTTGCTGCGGTCCCGGTAAGCACTGCACCGGCGCTGCAGGGAGTCTTGCAGCAGTGCCTGGTCCGCTTTTACTGGCGCACTCTCACGCTCACACGCACACGTGCACACACGCGCGCGCGCACACATGCGCACGCGCGCTCACACGCACACTCGCGCTCGCGCGCGCGTGCGCACACGCACACACACCCCCCTCTTCTCTCAAATTCTCTTTTTGTTCTTCTCATGCATCATGAGGGGCGAACCCTGCATGCTCCGAAGTCAGTCCGCTGTTCGGGAAGGCCCTGCAGCGACACTCTCTTTCGTTTCAACATTTTCTCTCCCGTCTGGCACAAGGCATTCCGAACCAAGCTGCTCGAACCGTCTGCACTGTGACGGGTGTAGGCTGGATACTCCACTGGCCTTAGAGCTATAGTCCTCTGGTTGCTTACCTTGGAGCCTGTTCTGTGGCCACTGCGTGTCAAGGTCGTGCAACATAAGTCGGGTGGAGAGTTGTGACAGGCCCTCTCGCTGGTAGATGCTCATATCCTTGCCTGCCCTGAATCCTCTAAACCCTAAAACCTAAACCCCCAAACCCCAAACCCCGAACCCCAAACCCCAAACCACACCCCAGTCTAGAAGACCCTTTTTTGTTCTGCACGCAAGCTGAAGCCTCAGAAGGAAGGACAAAAGGATATAACATGGGAACCCCTAAACGGGAAAATCAGGAACATAAGGAATCTCAGGACTGTGACACCTATATTCCTACTAACTGCTCCCTCAAGATACCCCTAATTTCGGAAACCCTAAACCCTAAACCCTAAACCCTACTTTCGGAAACCCCCATATGTCCTTTTGCATCATTATTACAGAACAGGTCACAGATGTTTAGGGTTTAGGGTTTAGGGTTTAGGGTTTCCGAAGTGTACAACATGCGCCCAGACACGCATCTCCTCAAGCAGGTGCAAGGCCCGGCACCACTGCCTGTTCGATCCAAACTTCTGCGAAGAAATAGAATAATGATAATAATGATAACAATCATAACAATCATAACAACCATAACAATAATAACAATAATTACAATAATAACAATAATAACAATAATAACAATAATAACAATAATAACAATAGTAACAACAATACCAATAATACCAATAATACCAATAATAACAACAATAACAACAATAACAACAATAACAACAATAACAACAATACCAACAATACCAATAATACCAATAATACCAATAATACCAATAATAACAATAATACCAATAATACCAATAATACCAATAATACCAATAATAACAATAATAACAATAATAACAATAATAACAATAATAACAATAATAACAATAATAACAATAATAACAATACTAACAATAATAACAATAATAACATTAATAACAATAATAACAATAATAACAATAATAACAATAATAACAATAATAACAATAATAACAATAATAACAATAATAACAATAATAACAATAATAACAATAATAACAATAATAACAATAATAACAATAATAACAATAATAACAATAATAACAATAATAAAAAAATAGAAACAATAATAATTGAGACTAAACAAAACCTAAACTCGTTTTCCCCTCTACAGCCAGGACTCCGGGACCTAGCCTACTACTTGCTTAAGAACCCCCCCCCCCCAAAAAAAAACACTAATCTCCATATTCCCGTTATAAGGAAGAATCGTGTTTTTGGGGGGCTCTTAAGCAAACAGTAGTATCAACCGGTGCCGGGACCTGCCCTCTGACTTGCTTCGGCCCTTTGGCTGTCAAACAGGGTTTAGGGTTTAGGGTTTAGGGTTTAGGGCGGATAGTCTTCGTGCTGCTATGGGGGGGAGGGGGGGGGGGTTACGAAAATCGGTGGCCACGAATGCAGGCCCCCAAAAGGTCAGGATTCCGGGAAACCCTAAACCCAAAACCCTAAACCCTAAACCCTAAACACTGACTTACTTCATCATCATCCTCGCAGCCCACAGGGTGTGCTGTCCCCAAGCTTTCGCCTCATCACTGCCAGTCCCTTCAGGCAGGCGTTGCAGGTCACCACGTCCTCGGCAGTTCAAGATTCGGCGGGTTTAGGGTTTAGGGTTAGGGT